GCTCTCAGTGCGGCGTAGGGATTTTCCAGTAGTTCTTGTGGTTTGTCCTTAAAAAAGTTCGAGAACAAAATTCCCATACTGATAACTGCAATCATACTGAAGAGACTGATTCTGAAGTAACTGAAATAATCCATTGCCAATGATAACTCTGATATAGTTTATCTAAAAAATGTGGTGTAACCAAAATATCCGCGACTCTCAAAGAGAAAAAGAGGAAAAATAACAGCCCAAAGAGTGGATAGACTCATTATCAAGCTGAATAAAAAGGCTCTGAAACCGACCGAACCGATCCTATTAATACTTTGAAATGAGACTTTAATGGCAAACATACATTTTTCATTTCCTAGATACGCGGAATGGATCACAGCAAGCGCTGGAGCATCGTACAGGCAAATAGAGCGCGGCGATGGAGCACAATTGACAAATCCTTATTGTACTCGTCAGTTAAGGGTTGGGGGTGGTTCGAGTTGGATGGATGGAAAAATCATCCCGAAGGGGTTGATGTAGCTACATTGAAATCAGACCGAGCGCGTTTTTGGCCTCCGGTGTAGACACCGGGAGAAAAAGGAACATTTTTTTATTACAATAAGAGCATTTTTGGGTGAACTGCCACGAGATCACAAATATTGCTAATTTTCTCCTATTTGGAACGGTAGTTGATGAAAAAATTATTTCATAAAAAAAGTTCACTACTTAAAGAACATTGCATGTTTTTCTGAATAATAAAATGATTTTTGATATATATTTATAGTCCGTTCATAATTTGTCGATAGCACAAAATGAGGGCCCAAGTCATTAAACTGTTGTAAAACTCGTAAAATCATAGGCGGAGGTTCCTGAGGTGTTTATTCATTAAATATAAAGCTTCAGTTTATATTCGAAACTTGCCTTGAAAGGGTGAAGTTGTTACGAACGAAAATAATTTTTGGTTTAGTACATTTTTTAATCGCATTTAATTTACGGCTCGTTGGTGTTTCGGCGTCTACGGCAGTAATTAACGTCTCTAATATTTATTTTGCGAATTTTGTGCAGTGCGTGAGTAACTTTTTTTCATATTCCTACAAACATATNTAAATAAAAATACAGTTTACAGTACCTACAGTTTAAGAATATTAATATATTTATTTATTTAAAGTAACTAATGTTTTAATCATATACTCTACGACACTGGTCACTCATTTCCACTCAAAATACCTACATAATCGGATTAAAAGTTTTATAGCTGTATTGTATTTCTTCAGATACAAGGTGGGTTAGTCGAAAACATCTTAAACTGCCAGTTTTAGTTTGGTTTTTGTTATTATATCATATTAGCTGTCCTCTCTGTATTTCAGTTCTCTAATGAGGGTCAAACTTGCAGTGAGCTATCAACAAATTATGAACGGATTATAGTTCGGAAATAATAGACTAGTTCTTACTTGAATATTACTAGAGTTCAGCTTCGTGATTGAAACACTACCGCCCCGACTTCGCGCGGGTAAATTTTCGTATTTCAACCAACTTACATGAAATAAATCATACACGTGAACCCTTGAATCACTCCGTTCATTGATGAAAACCGTATGGAAACATATTCTGTAGTTTTAGAGTTTATTGTGTTCAAAGACAGGCGCGGTATGGCGCTTTAATGTGTAACTATCAACCTCTGCTTTGATAAACATCACATCCTAAATACCCTTAACGTTCATAACGCCTATTTGTAACAAACTTCTGAATTCCTCAACGCGTATAATAAACTTCGCCGCCCCGCTCTTTTACGGATGTTCACATTCAATATTTTTCTCCCAACTCCCCAGATAATCTCGGATGTTTCAATTCTTGAGAAGTGCTTGTTTCCCGATGAATGTGAGCATTACTTCGCCATCCACTTTTCTACTCTGATCTGGAGGATGAACTCTCTTCCTTTTGTTTGAAAAAAGCACTATAATTTGCGAGGAAAAAATCCCATTTTATTTTCATATTGTTCAAAGTTGTGAGAGGTTGCGAGGTATACTAAGAATATTTTTCTGATACTTGTAGCGTTTACAGTAAAGGCTCAGGAGGTTATTGATACTGCCTACCCAGGACACGAGGCTAAATGACCAATGCAGTCGATGACACCCCAAAAATAAAAAATGAGGGTTCAGAAAATATCATATTTAGGAACATATCTTAAATTTAACGTTTATTTCAGTCAATAACGTTCTTTAAATGCTGTTCATTTATAGTTATTTTTTCGCCTCTTTTCCGCTAATTTCTCACTATATGATGTCGTTCAGCGGCATTCAGACAATTTTTCTCTATGAATTCAAATTTAACCAAAGCGCTGCCGAAACAGACCGAAAAATTAACCAGGCATTTGGCATTGACAATGTTGATTAACGCACTGTTTGCAAAGTTTCGTTCCGGAGATTTTAGCCTCATAGATGAGGCCCGAAGAGGTCGACCTACGTAATCCAGGAAGAAGATTTGAGGTCCCTTGTAGAGACTGACCCGTCACAAACGACGGAAGATCTGGGGGTCCGCTGCTATGCGGTTTTTGATTATTAAAAACGTAAAAGAAAAGTCAAAAAGTTCCAGAAGTGGATGGAAATTGTCCCGTTTCAATGTCTATTCTTCTTCGCTTTCGCACAACCAGAAAGATCATTTTTTGGATCGGATCGTCACGTCTGATAAAAAATGGATCCTCAACGATAACAGGAGTCATTTAGGACAGTGTATGGATATCGCAAAGACGTAAACCTACAAAAAAAGGTCTTGATTACTGTATCATTATGATGGTCAGCGGCTGGTGTAGCTATTACTTTCTGCAATCGGCGCAAATCATCGCAGCAGAGTCTAATTGTGAGGAAATCGACAAAATGTACCAAAAACTGCGTCACCAGCAGCCGGCTCTGGTAAACTGAAGAGGTCCGATCCGCACCCGCACGTTTTACAACTCACCGTTCGAAAGTTAAACGAATCAAGCTTCGAATTTCTGCCTCACCCATCATACTCCCCATACAAGCACTTCGATAACTTTTTCACCGGTAGAACATTCGCCAGGCAAAAACAACCTCAATCACGCAAAACACCATACTTTCATTGTTCTCTTCAATATTCGGAAAAGGAAAAAGTCGCAAGGGGCCAAATCTGGTGATACGGTTGTTTGTCCACAATACCGAACATTTTCTTCGTATTGCTTCTCGCCTGTTCATAACTTCAGGCTAATACTCCTTATTTGTCATACGACCATGTGGCAAGAACTCCTGTTGCACCACGTCACAGTGATCGAAGAAAACAGGGAGCAAAACTTCGCCATTTGATCGAACTTGGCGTGCTTTTTTGGTCTTGGGTATCATGGGCTTTTCCATTGGAACGATTGGTCTTTGGTTTCGATGTCAAAACTATATACCCAAGGTTTGTTTGAAGGTGATTGCCAATGTTTCATGATGGATTTCACTAGTTCGGACTTCCATTGTCTCGATAATCCTCTGATGAAGGGAAGCGCAAGCACTGGTTGTTTGACCTCTTCCAACGGTGATAATTGATTTGAGACCTTATCAGTGCTCGGCTGGCGCGTTCCAATATGCGTTTAGCTCTCTCTCCTGGGATTGGCGATTTCAGCAGAAAACCTTTGGGGATGATGTTGTTATCTCTCGCTCTGCACAGAAAACTGAGGTGAGCTTCTTTATTTGTAAGCTTGACCATAGTCTTTTCATATCCCCGGAATAAGTAGCTGGTGACCCAAGATTCGTCACCAGTTATGTCTCTTTTAGCAAATCTGGATCGACGGTGACTTCATTCAACAATTCCTTAGCGATGCTCATGCGACGGTTTTTTTTGGTAAGAATTCAGCAATTTTGGAGCGAACTTACCTGCAACATCACGCTTCATGCCCAAAATTTCCGATAAAATTGCACGGCAACCGTAGCCAACCGATATATCGACATCCTCGGCAACTTCTCCAATAGTGAATCGACGATTCTAGGTAACAGTCTTCTCACTTTTCATGGGTTGTTGATGTGCTGGGGCGTCCAGGGTGAGCGTCGTCCATACACATCTTCTCAGCCTTCTATGAAAAGCTTGTACCACTTGTAAACAGTTTTATGAATCTGAGTACAATCACCCTATGCCACTGTCAATATTCAAAGTTTTTTGAGCACTTAATTCCATTCTGCACACGATGTTTGATGCAAATTTTATAATCAATTTTTTTGCTTAACACACCAAAACACTTCTAACTTTAATGTCTGTCACCACCAAACTAAACAGCTGAAACTGTAAACATGTGTTCGAGACGAGTGTACCAACATTATAAAAATTGCTAATCGAATGTACGTACAGTCCACGTATGTTACTTCAGATCCGTTTCACTATTTCTAACTAATGTAATATTAATACTTTAAATAACTGCTCACTGTATGATAATTTGTTGACTACACATAATCTGCTTCAGTAATGTTTGTAGCAAAGTTCAACTCTGGAAATCGTCAATTCATTTATTAAATTTTCACCAATAACTATAACCATATACAATACATGTATACATTACAATAAACTATTCAGAACTGTATTCATGATTTTGATTTTTCTTCCCAATCCAACCAACCTCCAGCATAGTTGTGTACTCTGGAATTAAAAGGACATGTTACTTGAATTTATCCTTCAATAGGCAAGACGCAGTGGATCGGGGGAGTTCTGATCTTGACTTGAGATTGGTATTGACTTCAGCTCAGTTGAATGGTATGTATTATGCTTCAGTAGACTTCGGAATAAGGTACTGTGTTCGTTTCTGGTGGGATTGGGTCAACTTCAGCACAGAATTCATTTGTTGCAAAAAAGTGCAAGTGGGAAATATTAGACATACCTACATTATGCCTAATATTTCCCAAAGAGATATTTGTAGGCATTAATTTGAAGAATATAGTATTTTAACTTTAGCATCGGTCTACACATTAGAGATGTGTGTGTATGCTTTTGAAAAAAGACAAATTTGACATTAAATAAGAGTATTCTCCACCATGATACGAGAATCAAAGACCCATTCCATGTGCCAATTGCAAAATGGGAAGTGGATTATTCTGTGCTAGAGTAAAAAAATGTATAACAATCTTCTGTAATATGTGATTATTTGTGATTACTTCAAAGCATTTATATAGGGGCTTCCAACATGGATTTTCGAACTTTAACAATTGATAACCGCCATCTTGTTGAAGCTATAATCTGTCAAATTAGTTCTCATTTATCAGTCTGTTTTGTCAAATAACCATGGATGGAAATACCATTCAACAACACGTACAAATAAATGAAATTGGATGAGGAGAGCCTCCCCCCCTATTATTTCTGTGTGAATTTGGGATAGAATCAGGAAGAGAATAATTTTTTACTTTAGTTTTAAAACATACATTATATGTTGTCTTCATTAGGTAAGAGTTTGTTCATAGTGAGATTTTTCTACATTTTCATCGACAATGTCTAGGATACTATTTGATAAATGTTGTACTACTAGCAAATTTGTGCTGTCCACAAAATTCGTCAAATGAATATTATCCTGGCCATTTGAATATCTGGTGTCATAACATTTAAATCAAATACAAATGATGAAGGCCTTATTATGCAGCCCTGTGGAACACCTACTGACATTGAACCTTCTTCAGAGTAATAGTTCATACATTACTTTACGACTAGACTCGTAGAAGTAATTTGAAAAAATGTCCACCTGGTCTTTCATAGATATTCAAAATAATACCCAGTACACCAAGGTTACACTGACGGACACATTTTTCTGGTAGTTGATTTATACTTGACAATCACAAACAAGAAAATTATCTTCATGAACGGGTCTTGGCAGTATGTTCTTGGGTCCTTAATAAACCACAGAAATATCTTGAGTTAGGAGTTAAGGAAATGATGGTGATGATGTACTTATCGTGTACATGGTAGCGGAGACGGTTCAGAGAGCCCTATGGATTGCAAACTGGAACAGTTGATCAGCAGCATGACTAAGATTCATTTGCTACAGAATAACTTCACAATATTTCTTATTCTTCATTGAAAGTAAAGCTTGTCAAATGTAGGTAGAGCTTTCTGAATTCCGTTATGGCCCCGCCCACTAAATCAGTGTTCATTAGAAGACAGTGAGAGTGAGAGAAACGCAACACATGTTTTGCTATACGATAGCATCTTCAGGCATGTCTTTTCTAACTAAAATCTACCCATTCAATCCTTTAGTAATATTTTAACAATTTAAAGTACCGGAGTTTTACCTGTTCAATTAATGTTGAAAGAGTTTGAAAATAAATCAATTTGTAAATGATCTGAATTCTTAAATCTATTCATTTCTGAACATTCTGTACGATTGAGTTTCTAACTTTTTTGTTCTAAATATTTTTGTTCTTAATGTTGCAAATGTAGAATTTGTCTTTCCATTCAATAAACTACTTCTATGCTTTTCAATTCTTTGGGAAAAAGTTCTCCCTGTTTCACCAATATAAAGTTGTGAGCAAGAGCCACAAGGCAACTTATATACTCCTGAGCTAACCGACCCTGAAGTTTCGTCTTTATTGTTCTTGATAAAATTGTCTAAATTATCATTTGTTCTAATAATTAGGTTGACTTTCTGAAGTTGACAATTTAAAAAATGGTTGAAATCTGTTGGTAAATTGAAATTTCAAGGGTGTTCCCAATTCAAACAGGACACACAGTGAAGGCAGAGCCAAGCAGTGCCAAGAATGATGATTCTGAACCTGGGATCTACTGCAAATATTGTCACCAATTTAAAAGAACTGTTGAATAACTGAAATATGAACAAATACGCCAAGCAGGTAGCCACAGAAATAAACTATGAAAAAGAATAAGCGATATGGTCACCTTTTGAACCCCAGTTGTTGAGCAATAGCTTGGGCAGAGGCACTTCTCTTTCCTGATCTACAGGAAAAAATAATCGGAAAATTTTGAGTAGGTTTTTCTTTTCCATAGGTAGCATAGAAATGCTCATTCGAAACATCCTTCAAAACACTTTCTAACTGGCCCACTAAAATAACATATGAGTTCAAGATAAACAATAATCAATGGTAAAATAATTGGCTATTGAAACATACAAGGAATATTTATACTTCCAGGTAAGACACCAGTTTCCTTCAATTCATCAGGTTCTCTCACATCTATGATTAAAGCTTCACAATTTTCAAGGGAAACTTTCTTCACATCTTCATAAGAAACGTCTTTAGGCAATGTTGAGTGATGAATAGCTATAAAGAAAAACTATGACAATAGTAATAACAGTATGCAAGTAGGTATCGTTTTACATTTTCGAGTAGCCTCCATAATTTTGTGATCTGAACTAAACAGTGAATTTCGCACCCCGCGATAAATTAATGAAAGTAAATTTCTACTCTCGCTCATTATCTCTAATCTAATCTCTCCTGAATGTTCCACTAATCGATAATTAATCTTTCCGTCTCCTATGCTGTGGTATTATTGACCTCATTGCATAATTAGACAATATTATATTTTGTATCAGTAACATTAGGTTAGGTTTTCATTTTGTTTTAGGGGTTAGAGGAGCACAGAACCACAGCATACCTAATAATACAGAACGTAGGACCAAGGATTTTGTCACAGAACACTTAGGGTGTTCTGTGATTTTGTATTTCAGTCATAGACATTATATTATATGGACTGCGCGTGACGTCACTTTTACATTTATTCTACATGTGGATCACACAACGTCTTGGCCACTGCGTCACAGCACCATGTGACAAATAAAATCCCAAAATTCTGCAACAAGCAATACATCGTGACGTATCTGACGTTAGTGTATGAATGACGTACATGCCAGGACATGAATTTCTTCATCTTTTTTCAGTTACTGTTATCAATGTTCTTTCTTCAATGGCCAGTACATTTTTTTAACACGTCACTGATACAGAAGTAAATAAACAAATCTTTTCCAAAATAACATTGGATTCTTTTTTCACATGTATGATAGTCAGCGGCTGGTGTGATTCACTTTCTGCAACAGAACCAAACCATCGCAGCAGAGTCTTATTGTAGGGAAATCGACGATATGTACTTAAATTGCACCAGCAGCATCCGGCACATTGAAAGTGTATTCTGTCGTACTCTGTGTGTAATTGTATATTTCAACTTGATATTTAAATTGTAGTGGACTTTGTCTTTACTTCAATATTTAACCTTTTACTCTGTAATTTTGCTTATTCTTGTGATGAACTGTTTGGAACCTTTGGTGTAGTAATGAATATTACTGTAGTTTTTTCCCAACACCAAATCGTTATCCCTTGACACGTGTTTCGATCACCAAGTGATCATCTTCAAGAGGAAGAGGAGTTTAATCTTCCTCTTGAAGATGATCACTTGTTGATCGAAACACGCGTCGAGGTGTTAAGAATAACGATTTGGTGTTGGGGAAAAAACTACAGTAATATTCATTTTGCTTTTTGTTTGAAAATAGTAAAAGGTATTATTCGTAGACTCAGGATAAAAATAAAAGAAACGTGAAACTAAAATTTTTATTCTGTCACATATTACATAACTATAAAAGAGAACTCTTTCTCTTGAAACACTACAGATGATATGAAAATACAAATATTATTCATAATATCACTTAGCGATAGCCGCTCTTCACTTATGAAAGAGTAACGAAATTCAGCCTTCACTGTAAAATAAAAACATTTCAAACAATCTATAATCCAGACAGGACAGTCTTGAAAATAATATCAACTCTTCGGGAAAATAAAAAATGTCCCATCACTTTTAGTTTTTCTTCTTTTTTATCTGAAAATAAACATAAGACAAAAAATTAAAGACACACCCAATATAAACCATAAAAAATGTACACTCTCAAGATTCAAGTACACTGAAATTAAACAAATGATCAAAGATTGTTAATTTGTAAATATCCTCGTTCCTGGTACCCACAAATAAGGGATAGTCCATCAATCACGTGAGGCTCGAATAGGAATAAGAGTTCGAAGAAAAAATCTGGAAGTATCACACGGGGAAGGGTTATTCAGAGAGATAATCATCTGTATTCATTATTTCCGAATGAAAGTTATTGAATAACAGGTACATTTTATGTATCTGAATATCATAATATATATTATAATGACATCACGGAATTCCAGTACCTAATCAGACACCCTTGTCTATAGTCAGCCCCTATTTCGTAAGCCCGCCTATAAAGTAACCCCTTTTAAATCAACTTTATGTCAATAGATAGTGAATTATTGATGCGATTATTTTGATTTCTTTAATTGTAATTTCGGCGTTCGGTGCCTGAAAACTGCAACAATTTCTAAACTAGATCTTAATAAAGACCTATTTGTAGAGTATAAGAAAGGAAAGACATGTCGTGGCTCAAAATTGATTTATTGAATTTTAGGCTGAAGGGAAAATAAAATGTACCGCACCAGTAGAACCTTCCCCGATCAGGACCAGGCAAAAACGGCCTACGTCGACTCCATCGAATCCCGAGCACGCAATTTTCATGCTGACGGAATTAATCGACTTGTCTTACGTTGACAAAAGAGTACTGATTCAAATGGCATTTATTTTGATTAAATTGAATTAGTATCCACTGAGATATTGAAGTTTGAAGTAGACTCATAAAAATGGACGAAACTTATGAAAGTTGACGAAGGCCGTTTTTACCAGGTCCTGATTGGCGGAGATTCTACCTATCTTTTGAGGGTGTTAACTCAATATATTTTTATTAAAGAACAAAGCAAACAACTGTTTTTATCTCTCTATTTAAATATTCTGCAGGTTGGTTGGATATATTCATTATCACTTGATGCGTAAACTAGTTTTCTTTATAAACTTGCATCAAAGATAATGTTTTGTAAAAAAATAGTCATGTCTAATATCTATCTGTTTCCTACCTTTTGTTTTGAACTTTGAGAATCAGAAACCAAATTTGAATTGGCTTTAGTGGAAGATCTTTCTTGTTCTAATAATTCATGAAGTCTAGCAACTTCTTCAGTCAACTCCTCCTTAACAGTTGTTAGCTTCTCCAGTTCAAGTAATATGGCAGCCTTGTCTTTCACTGTGAAAAAAATGAAATATACAACCAAGGACCGAGTTTTTGTCAAGGTTTATATAAAGCAATTGATCGGAAAGTTACAGAAATACTAGCAAATACTTCTGCAGCAATTTCAATTCCCTAATATTCCCTAAGCTTAGGAAATTTCTCCTACTAATTGTCGATTTATGTCTGGGCAGATTCAATAAATTTTCGGATCTCGTATGCATGAATGCATGCATGGATACCACAATGTCTGTCAAATTTATTAACGCTTCCATGAATCTCCACCTTAATCAATTACGTAAAGAAAGTTACCCTAACAATAAATTTAGTAGAAGAAGGTGGTATGTACAATATTTATTTACACACATCGNACCAATTTAATCGAAATTAAACGACCTCACGCATTTATTTTTATGATATTTAGTATGTTATAAAAATATCCCTAGACTTTTCCGATGTGTGTATTTTTATTGAAAATACTAAAGTAAAAAAAAACAAGCAAATATTATACAAAACTACATACGAATAGCAATAGGAAAGCAACTAATAGCAAAAATGGAGTGTTTAAAACTTTCAGAGCTCACATTTCAGAAGTTTCTATCTGTAACATAGCTCCTTCTTCTACAAAAGTAATCAATTATTGTCAACTCACTTTCGCCTTGGCTCAACATATTGCACAATGTTTTGTTTCGCTTTTTAACCGATGCTATTTCCTTTCTAGATTCCTCCAGTTCTTTCTTCAATTTATTATTGAGCTCTTTCTCCTTCTGCAGTTTTTCCTTAAAAGAAAAGTTGTTTGACAACAATGCCATCAAATATGCAGAAATATTTCTATCATATGCTGACCAAGGTCATTACAATGATCACAACTCATACAACTAGTCGTTTGAGACCTTGAAAGGGTCAACACAATAGAATAATTGACTTGTCTTTCGCAGAAAAAATTAACTTTTCTCGACCAATTCAGGAAATTTTGTGAAAGTTAGTCATATTTTTTTCTACCATTTCAGAGCTCATTAGCAGTTTTTTGATAAGAAATTTGTAGGACATGGAAAGTTAAAAAAGACACGCCAAATGCTAAAATGACAAGATGATAAAGTTATATTGACATTAAAGTGATTTGAACTTTGAACATGATGGCCTACACTATATTCCATAGTTAAGATATGAAATCACATAGTTTCGAAGCTTAGGCTTTTCGAAACATCACTTTTCACATCATCAATTGTTAAAATTGAGGCAGAAGTCTGGGGCAGAGTAATTATGGTTTTCATGGTACATTGAAAACACTTTTTCATCACCAAAACCAAAAAAGTTGTCTCTTGTTTCGCTACAGTAGTCATCAAATTTATCACCCGAAGACATCACCCTACAATCGAAAAGTCTTGAAATAACTTGGCTTGAAATTTTTTTAATTTTTATTTTATTTTGATTGTTCAATTTTCAACCTTTCGCTTAATTTTCATTTAATTGTAATTTCATTTCCGGGTTGTTTGTTGCTTAATATGATTGTTATTTTCTGCTCTTCATTTTAATTTTCCAATTCCAATAGTTGCTACGATATTTTTTCTGTTCTCTCCAAACAATATAAAAACCTCTTTCTTAGTAGTCAGCGGGCTTTGCTTGAAGACAGGCAGTAAACAAATCTAAAGAAATGAACTCTAAATTGAAGTTCTGACTAATCAGAAAGCTTTTTCTTCCTTATTCAGAGGAATCGGGCAAATTTCGGATATGCAGTTGGTTAGTACCTCGTCCACTAGATGGAGTTACATTTTTGATGTTCGCTCCAACTTCGGAAGAGGAATGAAATACTGTGAAAGAATTTCGATTTTCAATTATGGAATATCATTGACTTTAGGTCGATGATAGTCACTATCTTGCATTGACGAGTGGCTAATAAGCCCGAAACCGGTCTGCAAGTGTGCCCTTTCCAAAATTGAAGGTCGACTCTATCAGTTGTATTGACAATTGCATATGCAGGAAATTTTCTGTGAAAATTCCTGCACTGACGCCTGTCGGATATAATCCAACGCCGTTTGTGGTATTAGCCAGTGCAGTAGTTGTTTTCTGATAGGCGTCAGTCCATTCAACCTACAGCGTAGGTATATCCGAGACGGGCTTGAACATTTAAAATTCATTTCTTTAGATAAAAACCTCTGTTTACATTAAAAAAAAAAAGTTAGTATCGCCCTCTCGACGACAACTGATGCAACAAACACTATTTACTATCCTTATGAAAAAGAAAAGAAATGTTTGTCGGATAGAACATTTTGAGTAAAGCAAATTTTGATAGTTTGAAGAAAATGGATGAAAAGCATTGCTTTCTGGCTTGAAATACTGTTGAAATCAAGGCTTGGCTTGATAAACATTGGACTTTGCACCAGTAAAATCAACGGTTGAAATGTAGCTTGCTGAATTTAAAAGAGGTGAAATGCATGCAGTGGACGCCCCAAAGAGGCTTCTACCGACGAAAACATCAAAAAACTTCACAAAATAATTTTGGATGACCTCAAGGTGAAGTTGATCGAGATAGCTGAGGCTCAGATATCTAATGAACATGTTGGACATATCGTTCATGAATATTTGGGCATGAGAAAGCTCTGTTCAAAGTAGGTGCCGCGGGTGCTCACAAAACAACAACGAATTGATGAATCTGAGCAGTGTTTGAAGCTGTTCCACCATAAAAAACCCGAATCTATGCGTCGATATGTGACAACAGATGAAACATGTCTCCATCATTTCACACCAGACTGAAAATTAGCGTCATCTGAGTGAACACGTAGTGAATCGACTCCAAAGCGTGCAAAGACGCAATAGTCAGCTGGCAAGTTTATGGTATCAGTATTTTGGGATTCGCATGGTATAATATTCATCAAAACTATCAGCAGCGTTCAATGGGGCCGGAAAAATGGCCCCTTTGGAAGAAAAAGAAAGTGCCCTTTCGTCAAGACAATGCACCGTATCACAAATCAATGAAAACAATGGAAAATTTGCATGTATTGGACTCAGAATTGCTTCCGCATCCACCGTGTCCTCCAGATATGACCCCCAGCGATTTCCTGTTCTTAGACCTCAGTAGACTTCTCGCTGGAAGGAATTCAAGCGCTGATGAAGAAGTAGTTGTTGAAACTGAGGCGTATTTTGAGGCTGAAGAAAAATTGTACTAAAACAAGCGTATCAAAAAATTGGATGACCACTGTAATAATTGTATCGCCCTCAAAGGCAACTATTTTGAATAATAAATTCAAATTTTTCCAAAAAGTTGCTTTTCTATGTTAGTCTACAAACTCTTCAAGCCAACTGTTACTTACAATAATATATTTTCACGTTAATTTTGCCCACCTACTGCATCCTGTAAAGAATTGTTCAGGAAAACAAGAATCCTAACCCTACCCAGTCTTTACATATTCAAACTAATTATAGATTTCCCACAACAAAAACACAATATTCCCAAGAATCGAGACATCCACGACTATTATACAAGAAATATGAACAAAATCTATCAACCAGTTTCTAGATTGACTATTGGACAGAAATCTCATAAATACCAACAAATAAAATGCTACAACAAATACTTGGAGTTATGCTCGGAACCAAAAAAGACTGAGCTACATTCATTTCTCTGTAACGGCGCAATCTATTCTCTGAATGAATACCTGGCGGCATGATTATTGTAACCTACATATTATATGTGTGCATAAGTGTATATATATCGTAGAGTTTTCTTCTTTTATAATGTTTTATATTTATATTTGGGATTCGTTTGAATTTTTAGCCTTAGTTTTAAGATTTTGACTAGTCTGATAAGTATATATATGTTCACCAGCAGGCTGAATTGTGTGTATATGTTTTAATGATAAATAAAGCTACTTACTTACTTACTTACTTACTTACAACCCTGATGAAAGTCCAAAAAAAGGGAAAGAGGACTTTTTGAGTCCTCATTGTTTATTGAAGAATGTATGAAAAGCTTTATCAAGATATATTTCAGCCAATCTCGCTCTCAGGGTATACAATAAATATTACATATACTATATATTATAAGCAAACACACTCTGAAACTCACTGTGCCACCTAAAAACATTACCAGAGACTCCATATTTTACAACAGTGGAAAAATGTACAATCATTTGCCTATGGACATAAGATCTGCCAATATAAATGACTTCTAATTCAGGAAATTAGTCAAACAATTTCTATCTGGTAGACCCTATTATACTTTGGATGAATATTTTAACGATAGCTTTCAACTGAAGCATATTTTTCATCTTTACTTATTAAGGAGCTCTTAAGTTGTTACTTTTTATGTCTACTCTTTTATAAAATGTACTTTTACTATTTTATATATACATATCTTTTATATCCTCCATTTTAACATAGTTTGTACCCATACACCATTTTTTTTTTATTTCAGTTCTAGCACACTTTCTTAATTCCTGCGTCTTATTTGGCTTCTTGTAGGTAAGAACTATCATTACAAAGGCCAGTAATTCATTGATACAATTCTTGTCTATTGTTCATGGTTAGCCACAGCATCTCAACGAACTGAGCAAATCCCCATGTTCACTATTCTTACCATCAACTCTGTACTAACCACTTATGAACTCTGAAATAATAACAATAGTGACCGTGTTTCGAAAAAAGTAAGAAAAGTGAGACGATTTTGAAATTATAATCAATACTGACTCACTGGTAGCTCTGAGAGTCAAAGATTCTTCAAAGGAAACCACAAATATCAACAGATCATCCACAGCACGTGGTAGATATTGAAATAAAAGGAGACTCATTCTCCACAATATTTAAAAAAAAAATTATTCGCTTAAATAAACTATCAGATCATAAAGTATTTACCTGACAATGCGCCAGAGAAATGACTTCTTCTATGTTATTTGCTCTCTCGCGTCTTTTCTCTTCAACTTTCTCCCGCTTGATTTCTTCTTTCGTTGAATTCATCGCTTTTTCAAAGAAATTTGTTTCACTGTCATCGCGTCGATTACCTTTTTCTGAAGGAAAAAAAATCTATCTCAGAAACTTTGAATTCAAAGAATATAACGTGTCTGATTAAAAAACATAGACAGTTGTAAATGTCTCACATCAGTCTTACATCAGATATGGGATAGCATTTTGGGGAGCCTGCTCGCAAGCGTTGTTCTCAATGATCTTTAAGCTACAAAAGAGAGCACTGAGATACTTATGCTATCTACAATAGAATCAGTTTATTCTATCTTCCGATAGATTCAATAATGCTCTGCTAAAAGCATTCAAAGAAATTGGAATTCCTCTCAAGGTAAATTGAATTGATCGTTAATTTAATTTTGGGTGCACCTACATGCTGTCTACCTTACTTCTTTTAATTTAGTTTTCAATTATTTTGCTTCATGTCATCTATGTAACTTATTGGTCTAGTTTGGAATATAAATGTATATTCTCTGAACCCTTTGTTGATTCTTATTCAGAACTCTCACTTCAGATTAATCAATTGCCCACTTTGGCTATTTGATGATTTTTGAGCAATTTTCTGACTCAACATCAAAAACACAGTTCATAACATTTGGTTATTTGACTTGGAATACAGGACTTCTGCTCCCTACCAGGTAATTAACACCAAGACATAAGTTTTACCTTTTGTGGAACTTGGGTTACCATCATCTAAAAATTCATCAAGAGACATTGTTTTGTTCTTTTTCTTTTTGAGTTTATCTTGGGTAGTTACTGATTCACTGGATTTTTTCTGATGTTCATAATCCAATTTGGATTGCAATATAGCGCATTGGAGGTCTTGTTCGAAGTTTCCTTCTACAAATTCCTTGTCTTTTTTCTTCCAGTCTTCCCATTGTTTATCTTCAGTTTTTGGTTTGTGTTTTTTCTTAGAAGTACTCAAAGACTGGGTCTATAAAAAGGGGTCTAAAAAGTTGATGTTCATCACAATGAAATGACAACTACCTGTTTTGTGGATTTCTTATTGTTAGAGGTAATGTTAGTTTTCTTAATTTGTTTATTATCCAACTTTTTATTAGATTTACTGGAAACAGGTACAAATTCTTCATCTTCGATTTTCAGGCATGAAAATCGAGATGGTACCGATATTCCAGCCATAGTTTCCAGTGATAATCTAGATATCTTTAATTATTGATGAAATGTTCAAAATTCCCAAGTTAAATTTACATAAACAAAAACTTGGAATTCAAGAAAACTAAAATCATGGAACAAAAACTCAGAAACATAGACAATATGGACATAGAATAAGAATAGTAAAGTTTGGACACAGAACAATGAATTGTGGACAAGACTCAATGCTTGCTGGTTTGGGTTGTGGCTACATTTCTTGAGCAATTTGACAGTTTTATTTTGTTCTTCTATCAATGAAATTTCATAAACTTCTCCACTAATGTATTGAGACAAAAAAAGTAGGCATTGGGATGCCTTTGGCAAGAGAAAATTAAGGCATGAAAATTGTAAAATCATAAAGGAAAAGCCTATAAACTATTTATAAAGTTGCAATGAACTTGAAATTTCTTAAGTTTAGGAATTTCAGAGTGAAAAACTATAACTTTCTATGGACAATTGGGAATACTATAGACTTATCAAATATCATCCCGAAAAACATTTTTCAATAAAAAATGTACAAGCACTCTGGAATAATCACCCTTGACAGAGATGCGATTTGATTATAAAAATTATAAGGTAAAGTTATGACATCCTAACAACATTTGCAACAAATTAATTTTTTAGATTTTTTTTAATCATTCAGTATTTGAAAATGAAGGAAAATGTACTCACACAAAAGGACCAAGTAAAAATCACGAGAATATCCATTTGTCACATTCATGAAAAACTCTATCCATATTAGGTTTGCTACTTGATAATAAATGTCCAAAATAAATTAAACATGAACAATTGACTTGACCATTTATGATGTGAACGAATATTACAAACAAATTGAACGATTGATACCAAATGTCTGTGAAGACGAATTCTTATGGCAAAATAATCGATGTCAACGAGTAAAAGCACAAGTGCGCGTTTTTAAAACGAGTTTATGTTACAAGTGCACCAGAAATTTTACCGGTTGAAAAGCAGTGAACTTCAACTTTCAAACAGGAAAATGTGTCACTTGTCATTTATTATATAGAGTTTCGATATAACAAATGTAAAGATGCACTGGTGGATAGAACTTTGAAATGAGAGTTGCAGGATTTTAGCTTACTCTCAGTGATTTTGACAATGACAAAGAGACTACTCTGTCTACACTCTCTCCACTATAACTAGCTACTTCAACATTACTTAGTTGACGTGAGAGTTGAACGCATTTTCTATAAAATACTTTCAAGCTTCATAACACTAGCTGAATTATGATGTAATAATAAACAAATACTATATATACTATATATTACAATGAAATAAACTAGATCTGAGAAATGTATTACATGAACATTGTAAATAATAATGTAAATGAATCTAGGCCATTTGGGGGCAAGAAGATGGTGCTTCTCAGTTCAAGAATTTTGACTGAATATCCTGATGATGAAGAGTTTCCTAACAAATGAATTGGTAATGGAGACTTTTGATTCTTGATTGTTGCACCTCTTTGACAATGGACTCTCCATTGTAAAGTTAATGTTTTGAATTATTGAAGTTTTTCAACTCAGCAAGATATATTTGCACATCTTATTTCGTACTGAAACTCCATATATTCATCGTCAAACCATCATTCAACTCGAACTAGTCAGAACTGTCAAACAGCAATTCGCACAAATATGATAATGAGCAAAAACATAATGAACTTATTGAATTTTCTATTGAGGTTGTTGAAGTAAGTTGATGGGTTCACATGTTTTTTATGAAAATTTCAAGTGTGAAAAAGACGATGCAGATATAATTTAAATTTTTTTCAGCTGGGAATCCTTTTCTAAATAGAAAAGATCATGGTAGTATTGATATCAAACCGCATATTCTAGAAGAAGGAAATGAATGTTATGGCCAATCACAATACTCTTCCAGTAGCAGAGAGTTTAGAACTATTACTCATTTCCATCCGATAGTTGTTTAAAATTGTATAACACATAGTTCCAAAACATTAAATTCCTTCAGAGACTTTCTGTTTAATTTTCTACGAAATTTTTTATTTAATAACAATTGGGAAGTTCATCGTTCAGATGCGACATCTGCCGGACAAATTGAAGATAAGCTATATGGTAAAACAAAAACAAAGACCTGTCAGCTGTTTTCATATTGTTGTGGTTTCTTGTCGCCATCATCAGTAAACAATATAACAATAAGAAATGATACATTTTGTTGTTTGAGAGTTGAAATCAATTGCTTTTCACTCTCTTCATCAGCAAAGAAAATTCTGCCGCATTTGCAATTATATCTCATTGTGAGCATGCTCATTTGCGTTTCACTACAGGGGCACTGAAAATTTCACTGTACATGAAAGGGATCCGTTACAAACGTAGTGCTGCTCATAAATCGAATATTCCAACTTTTTAGCAGTTGCTACTCGACCAGAAAAATCTGTAAAATTCCATTGCTTCTACAGTGGTTGCTGCCTATGAATGTGAATTATCAATTTTCAATTCGTACATGTTTATAAAGCGTTTTCCATTGCTAAAACAAGGGTATTTTCAGTACATCTCTGTCCTCTATTAATAAAGGATAGAAATAAAAGCTAGAAGAATATTGTGGCTTTGAGACTGTGGCAACTGTGGTACAGTCGTAGGTCGTTGATCATTGATCTTTGGTTCAGTCAGTGCTACGTTACTTGCTGTCAAGATTGTCGAAAAGTCAGTTTGAAGATTAGTGGAAAGTTTTGAAAATTTATTTTTTATGAAACAGGTAGAATCATTTACTTTATTTGTCATAATCGATCACGAGGAAAATAGATAGTCGGTTGTCTCCAAACCCTACCGGGTTTGTGGGGACTATTCACAAAGTATATTTCAACTTCCCCATGCAAAACCACCTAGAACCACTCAAAATGTTTTCAACCCAGTGGACTTTTTAGGATAACAATAACTGAGGTTCCCGAGTTCATTATATAGGCAGTATGAATTTTTATTGAATGTGATGTTTTGAAATGACATTTCAGTCTCAATTTGTATCTGTACCGATAACATCATACCATTGCCATTCAATAAATATATCAATCGACCCATTTAGGTGCTATCAATTTAAAGTAATTAAGTGCCAGTAACATGTATTGTATACTTTGAACATTTGTTGTAATTTTGTTACATAGTTGCTCAGCTAATAATGATCCTGCAATAATTGAACTCGCATAAAAACTTGCTCACCTTCATCCTTATTTTGATATTATTGAGCAGGCAGTTTCCACATGTAGATAGGGTTGATAATTAGTTTCAGATTATTTCAAGGCGTCAGATAATTATAAGTGTCCCTTCATATGTTGCAACTCTGCCAAGTTTACTGTAATATCTTGACTTTTTGTGAATCAATATATATGGTGTGAGAATTTTACTATACAATTTTTTTTAGAAGTAGGAATGGAGTAGTAGCTCACTATTTTCAACAGAGTATTCTTCTCTCCTTTGTCAATTAATAAACCTGCTTTTGTTACACAATGTCAGTTATCATTTTCTTTGATTGTTCAACCACACAGTGTTTCACTATGAAAGTGGGATAAAATTAGCAAAAACATTGGAAAAAACTTTCATACGTTTTTGTCAAAATATACAGAATTTTTGTAAAACTATATGTTATGTTATATTTAACTCTGAACTGAATCCAACAAAAACAGTTTTTTCTCACACCAGAACTGATACTTTTATTTCACCAAACATCATTTTTTTCATCATTTTTATGCATTGAGGAAAATAACCACTGCTAAATTTTAGTATCATTTTGTTAAACATCGTCCTGCATTTACATGTAACAAAATAACTATATCTCATAATAACGGTGTAACAATAAAATTTCAAGTGAAATAGTAGGTTAATTCATAGATGACTCGATTTGATGGAAGTCACATATATTGATTATTGCTGTAGAAACTCTTGATCCAGGTTCTGGCTTTGCCAGTTGAGAAGACCATCGAGCCATATGAACTTGGCAAAATAGTTTTAAGTATATAAATGGATTTTAAGAAAATTTAGTTAAACTATAAATCACACTTTAGACGGCTTTGAAAACAATCATCTTCTGCTGATTTGCCCTCCAGTTCTTTCTACGCGCTTTCAGAATGAACAAATATAATTCAGGCAAGTATTAAACATGGTCAAATTCTACCTCAGATAAACGGTCTCTTGGCATTTCATTATCAAATTGAATAAACTATTTGTTTTGGTACAATTTTATTTCACCTTATTTATGGTTTCTTATGAAGAAAATACATTTTTGTATTCCCGACGCCACTGATATTTTGGCTGCTAAAAACTACCACTGAAAATGGCTGCTAAATTCACACATTTAAAGTCTAGTGATACTCTTGTATACTTTAAATAACATTATTGAGTGAAATTACAAAAACTACCTCTTACCATTCACCTACACGATTATCATTGCAACACATTCCTGAAACTACTTTTCAGAGGTGCCAACTTTCTTCAAGAACTGTTTTACAGGAACGTATGTCCTACAAATTATTTTATTCTACGAATTTTGTTTTATATAAAACCGACGGTTGTTATCGAATTGCAGGTGAAACATGGCGGAAGAACGTTTAGACATATTAATACTTGGTGCCTCAGGATTCACGGGGATGCACTGTATTCCTTATATTCACAAACTTTCCAACATTGATGGACGCAAAATCACTTGGGGAGTTGTTACTCTGTTGGTAACTTTTTTTTGAAAAACTAAAATGCTGACTAGCTAACTTCAAGGATTTCTTCTCCGATCGCGACTGAGGACGTTTGTGACGATGTGTCGGAGTGGAGTCCAAGAGTGAGGTGTTTTTTGTTTTAAATTAAACCCCCTACGCCAGTAACCAGGCTGGATGTCGACGTATTCGACGAGGTCGTCAGTCCGATAGTAGATGTGTTATTTGTCAGAGTATTGCAGGGGGACTGGCGGCCCCTTAGTAAAACGTAGGGCCAGAGGCCATATAAAGAAAAGAAGAAGAGTCTAACTTCAGGGTGTCGGTTTTTCGTGACGGTGCGCGCGCGTATCGTTAAAATTTACTCTCCCTAACGTGCCAAAAGAAGTATAACTTCAAAAATAAAATCAAATTTCATCAGAATTTTTTTTCTGTTAGCCTACGAATTCTCCAACCCAACTTTTGAGTTTCACTAATCCAATTTTTCCCGTCTTTTTTGCTTCTACTTGCTTTGAAATCAACGTTTTTTTCTCTCTAGGGGCTGATTTATCTCAAATAACCATTGTTGTTACTGATATCAACGATTATGACTCTTTGCTGGAAATGGCCAAAAGAGCAAAAGTTGTGATAAACTGCTGTGGTCCATACAGATTTCTGGGAGAACCAGTGCTCAAGGCTTGTATTGCTGCTGGAACACATCATATTGATGTAAGCGGTGAACCACAATATATGGAGAAGATGCAGTTGGAGCAGAACGAGAATGCAAAAAAGAAAGGTACTACGTTTTTAAATTGCAAAGTTGAAGAATTTATTTTTTTGCTGTTTAGGAGTTTATGCCGTGAGCGCCTGTGGTTTCGACAGTATTCCAAGTGATTTGGGGGTTATTTTCTTGAAAAAAAACTTTGATGGGGTTTTGAATTCCGTCACGACCTACTTGGAAGGATGGGAGGAAGGACATAGTACTGGTCCATCTGTGAACATTGGCACATGGAATTCAGCAGTACATAGTTTGGCACATTGGGATGAATTGAAAGGTTTACGAAAACAGTTATTCCCAAAAAAGTTGCCTTCGTACACTCCACGATTGGAGAGAAAGTAAGTGTTTCTGTTACTTTGATTTGGTCAAAATAAATACTGGATAATAATCTATATTATTCAGTGAGCGAGTAACAAAACAATCAAATTCAATTTGGTACTTTGACAAAAATCAGTGTTTGAGGAGTTGACAATATCAAGATGTCATTGCCAAGAAATGTACCAATCACAAACATTAACAAAAAGTAATTAAACCACCAACGGTTGTCGGAGATGAACTTCCCAAATCCTCAAATTGATTTGAAAATGATGAAAATTTGTTTGCCAGTAATCCAAATTCCTATTCTCCAGGTTGTAACAGGCCCCATCGCATTACCCACAATTATTCCACCCCATTCGCGATCTCTACGTCTATGAGGGTCATGTTTTTCACGCTATATATTAGTCAGTACGCGATCTCTGTTAGTCTCTGTATCATCAGCTTATGTTCGGTATGCGTTGCTAAGGTGACGATATGACGTCACGATACGTTGTCGGACCACTATACGCGGTACATTGTCAGAGTGGGTCGAATATAGACCCACTCATTTTAGACTCAACCTAAGCTAACATTGTTAGACGGGATGATGACAGTATTATTTTATTTTCTCATTTGATTTGCCTAAATTTTCATCAGTTCTTTTAAAAATAGCAAATTTTTTGAATGAACAAATAAATGAAGATGAGATAAACAAACTGAAAGTCCAGTTTGATTGACGTGACCGGCCAACAAGACTTTCTTGGGAAGAGTACATCAGCTTGAATGAGAACAGTATTAACCTAATCAGTGGGACTGATTCTCCTTTTTATAGTCATCATAAATTACGTTGTATTGAAATTTGAGGCAGCACAATATCAATGGCAGATAGGAAAAGTGCCGCAAGGTCAAGCTTAAGTGAAAACGAAGTATACGAAGCACTAAGATCGGTCAAGTCTACCACTGGTCCAGATGACATTTCAGCTTTCATCCTGAAAGATTGTGTGCCTGTGCTTGCCCGTCCTCTATCTATACTAATTAATATCTGCTTAAGATTGGCTACAATACCAAGGATCTGGGGATCATCAAAAGTCTGTCCCATTTTCAAGAAACTTTGCAAAGGTTTTTGAGATTCTTCTGGAGCGAGTTATATATCAGCATGTAAGTTGCAATATAAGTATAAACCAACACGGTTTTATGAAAAATCGTTCAACGGTCACCAACCTTCTGACTGTAACCCAACATATTGCTGAATCTATTGAGAACGGGGCCCAAACTGATGTTATTTACACAGACTTTTCTAAGGCCTTCGACAGGCTTGACAATGGCATTCTACTAATCAAACTAGTAGCCTTTGGATTATCTCCTTCCTTAATTGTAATCTTTCAGTCCCATCTACGGGACCGAAAACAATATGTTCAGCTCAATGGTTTCAAATCTACCGAATATAGTGCTTCTTCCGGTGTTCCACAAGGGTCAAATCTGGGACCGCTGCTCTTCAATATCTTCATTAACGATATTGCAGATGTTATAGATGTATATTTCCTTTTGTATGCTGATGATCTAAAACTATGCTGCCCCGTTGAGAACATAGATTATTGTGTGAACCTCTCAGCAAACTTAGGACGGGTTGAAGAATGGTGTTATCGAAATAACTTGTCGCTAAATCCGGATAAATGTTAGGTCATGTCCTACAGTATTGACGAAACATGAGTATACGGTTATGACATCGAAATCAAAGTCCAATTGTCTCAATGGAAGAGTCCAGAAGGGCCAAGAGTAAAAAACGCACACCAAGTTTGATCAAACGTCAAAGTTTTGTTCACTGTTTTTTTCGATTACCGTGGCGTAGTGGATCAGGAGTTCTTGCCACACGGGCGTACGGTCAATAAGGAGTAGTGTCTTGAAGTTATGCGCCGCTTGCGAGAAGCAATATAAAGAAAACGTCCGGTATTGTGGAAAAATAATTCAAGGCTTTTGTATCAAGATTAATACACCTGCTTACACGTCATTATTGGTTCGTAATTTTTTTGGGAATAACAACACCGTAATCGCCTCAGCCACCGTATTCACCAGATTTGCCCCCCTGCGACTTTTTCCTGTTCCAAAGATGGAAGAGGCCCGTGAGAGGACGGCGTTTTGCGACGATTGATGAGATGTAAACCAGCAAATCGCTGAGGTGTTCCTAGGAAATACCAAAAAGTGCATATCACACTGATGATTGAGGGGGACTACTTTCAAGGGGACAAAATAGAAACATTTTCGAGAAAAATTAAAGTTCACCTTATTTTTTGAATATATTACAGTTAGTTTCGTTGAAGTCAAGTAGTACCCTCACGAAATAATCTCTTAA